ACTGGAGGTTTGGAAAATTATTAAGTTACTTTTTGACTGACCCTTTTCAATTATTGTTCATTGCTCCACTTTATAGTATCCCAACTAAATTTTGCATTTCAAGATGGATAAAAATAAGTTTTAAATCCAATTTTCTAACTCCTAAATTTTTTGGAAATATTAATGTGGTTGATGTCTCAGACCATTCAACCAATCAAATTTTTTACTGATTTTATAATGTGTAAATTTTCTTCGCCTTTCATTAAAAGTAAAGGCAGTCATTTACAAGACTAGGCAATTTATAACTCCTAATGACAAAATTGAGGACAAAGTCCTCGTTGTCTTGACGCGACGTTGCTAAAGCAAAATTTTCACCTTGCCTGAATTTTTTTGAAGGATTTCGTCTAGCTGAGGGCCAATGTTACTTATTTCATTGTACTACGCGAATTACAGAATAAAACTTTTAAAATACCGATATTATCTGGAACGCTGAAAATCTGGCGGCTTTTGTGCGGTTCTTTTATCATAATCACTTCAAGATTTCTTTTTACTGTACAAAGCTCTGGGTACGAGTGATAACTAGTGTAAAAAATCACTTAGGTGACATTACAATTTGGCAGCTTGATCTTCACATGCGCTGTGTGGTTCCATTTCGAAGCAATTGACGCATTTGATTATTGAGAATATAAATGAAGCTTGATGTGAATTCGATTGGTTTTGACATGAATGAAGGACAAATTCTCGCATAAAGCACATTGCTATAAGTCAATGCTCCAGCGATCATCTTCTTTATTTTATTCATACTGGAGTAAAGTACAGAAAATTTGACAAAGAATACCATAGTAATCATACAAAGAAAATAAAGAAATAGTTCATTAGAAATGTTCACCCTCTCTTATAGCATTATCAGAAAAGCAGACGCATATCGACTCGGAGAAAAAAGCGCCTACACAAACAGAAGTAAGTCATAGCTAAAGTTTCCTAATATCAAGGTGTGGTCAGAAAGGTGACGATTGAATACATAGAATTTAAGATTTCCAAGATTATGGGTAGAGATAAAATACCGCTAGTTGTTCGCGAAGCCAAAGATACTGTGGAGAAATTGTTTAACCAAACGGAGAAGGAACTACAGCGAACAACAACAGGTGAGATTTCATATTATTCGTTGCTAATCTAAATTAGACCTTTCAGAAGTGATGTTTTCGCCCGGAGAGCTTTCCTGGTCTCACTATACTCGAGGGGACCGCTATTCCAAATATCTCTCTTTCTCTGCTCTCATTTCTATCGAGACGTCTCGAAAGCTGTTGGAAAGGTATTAATACATATCTCTTTAACATTTTCGGCCATTTGAATCGGCTTGAATCTGTTTTGTTAGAAAAAAATGATTTTTATTCAAGCACTTCACCTGACTCCAGACTTTTTGATGCTCTCCCATTAATCCACCTTGATGGATCAGCTATAAAGAGTCATTGTCCTGTGTATGCAATAGAAGAATGTATTGCTGGAAAATACAGGTATCTTTATATTATCTATTATTATAAGGTATATATGGTCTTGTAGAACTTACTCTGGCCACTGCAACAACGTTAATCATCCACGATACGGAGCAGTCTATGAACCTTTGCAGAGATTGCTTCCACCGGATTATGCAGATAGTAAGCACACTTCTTATTGTCTTCAAAATATAGCTTATATTGTCAGAAGTTGATCAATACTCTGGATCTTCTCATGGCAGTATTAACTGAAGTACAAAAGTTTAAAATAGTTTCAAGAATAGCAAACCGCTGGATGGTTGTTGGTGAAAGGTAGTTATCATATGGAACTCAGTGGTAAAAGTGTAGAAAATTGTGATTAGATAGCTGTAAAAGTTTCCATGCACAACCCAACACCGGATCGGCTTAAATGCTGATTCCTCTAGAACAATAAGATCAAGGAATGAATAAGTGGTATGTTGTATTCTTAAATTTAGGACACAGTCTTACTAGTACTCTAGCACTATAATCAATTATGGATGTCAGACATCATCCAAAAACGAATCGTAAACTTTTAAAACCTTTTCAGAAGTTTCTGCTCCCCGCAATTCACACTCCAAATCCTCGCTCCCATCTGCTACAGAAGTTGCTTCACTTTTCACGTAAATAAATAACTTGGCGTTTGTTTCTATGCTATAATGCTATTGAATTTATGCT